ACCAATGAACACCGCTAGACTTGGAGGCCGCCACGCTCCCTCAAGTGCTTTGGCATCAAACATTCGAAAGCTCAACACAAGTAATTAGGCCTGTGTGAAGGCTCAAGCAATGCCACACAACAGGTCTTCGTTATAAACTCGTGAGCACACGTCAGTACTTCAAACAGGTGTGATGCAACACCATCCACAGAGTGCGGTAGCTGCTTCCACCACTTGACGACCAACAAACAGATGCGACATCACACCAACAAGAGTCAAAAATAGATTCATAAGTGTGGACATCTTCAGTGAAAGTCAAACTCGCGTCTCATCTCTAGTAGTTGAGTAGGGATTAACGCTACGTTGTAGTGCCACAGCCCAAGATTGTGCTTACTTCACCAAGAAATTTAGCCATTTCAATGTTCTGGATCTGTAGGAACATTATATTATCGGCAGACTTGCCACCCCTAAACCTACAGCCATAATAAAATTTTGCTACTCCATGTTACCTGAGTTTCAAGCAAATATGGTTTCGCTTTACGGAATAATACTTCAAGATATATAGTCCACATTTAAGTGGGATTCTTTCTCAAAACTGAAAACTAACCTAATGATTTTCCTTGCAACTTCAGTTCTCGTAAAATAAAATATTCTAAAGACAGTCCACAAGTGTAAAAAAAGCATCATATGCTTCCTTCTGCGTAGAAAATAACGCATACATTTGGTCCAGTTATAGTAATAACCACAACACTTTACACTAACGAAGTATATGCTAATAGTTCATTGTGGCACAAGTGATTAGCGAAAAGCAAAAAAATATACTAAAGAAGGAGCCCGTACAGGTATGATGAAACCTGCATACGCTTTACTTTTACAACCGTTTCTTCCATGACTTCTTCGGTCAGTATTTGATATGTCATGCAAAGTAACAAATACAAGACATACTAAGTGCCGTAACAATAAAACCAAGGAACACGGGAAACAAAATGTACACCAACGAAGACTTGCCTGAACGAGAGGTTCATTTGACGACTGTAGGAGGGACACAACATTGTCGTTGAGGGGATCCATATTTTTGGTCAACCACTGCGCTGCTTGATAGTCCACACGACCGGCATAATGACACACTCCGAAGTCCGAAGTCGAACGGAACTCGGGTTTGAACAGTTTTGGGTTGTTTTCCTGCTGCTTGAAGAGCTTCTCAACAAACGACTTGTCTGTCGCTTTCGGGAAGAAACACTCTTCGTCGAGGAGGGCAAGGATGCCCATAGGCTTCGAGGAGAAAAAATGCAACCTGAGTGTGGGTGTGTCTGTCGTGATCAAAAATCCATATGGGGTGCCACAGCAAGTTTATTTAAAAGTTGATTTATCAGAATTGGTGGGGGTTGAAAAGAGACTACACATTTATGCCTTAAAAGCAGGCTAAAATGCGGCGTAATTCCAATGCCGAGAACGGGAACTTAATCTGACTACAAAAGCACGATATAGGTTAGAGGAAAAAGCCCATATGATTAGTTATATACGAGCAAAGAGACAAAACGAACAAGTCCTAAAACACAGTACGTGAAGTGAGGATGTGACTTACCTTTTCAATCAAGTCAATGGTGGGTTGAAGGTCCAGCCCGAAATCAATAAAATCCCAGGGAATGCCCTCCCGACTGTACTCTTCCTGTTCAAGTACGAACATGGTGTGGTTGAAGAGCTGCTGCAGTTTTTCATTGGTGTAGTTAATGCAGAGCTGTTCGAATGAGTTAACCTGGAACACAAATAAAAATTTTTCTTTAATGCCCTAAATAGATGGCCACTTAGAGTAAACGACATGCGCAGGGGCAGTTGCACAAAAAAGGAGTCTGTGCATACGAACACACTTAGCAGAAATTGATATTTGGCAACATATCAAACAGGGAAAAACAAGAAAGCACAAATAACAACATAAATGGAAGCGAAGTCGGTGGGCGACAGCAGAGAGCGAATAACTTACACGAACGGCCGACTTATCTGTAGTCTAGAGATGATGTTGATGTTAAGCAATGTTGGTTAGCAAACAGTACATCCAAATCAAGGAAACTACTTGCAGTTATACAAAGAGCTACACTTCAAGGTAGCTGAAGCAAATGCACAAGGGCAGGAAAAGTTCGGCAAGTGGTAATTCACCTGTTTGAAAAATTACGCACCATTTGGTGAAAAAGGCGTCGACGAATGAACAAACTATTACTATGGGCATACTGATGTTAACCGCTAGACTACAATGCCCACAAATGGGACCGCCGACCGCCCGAACTATCTTTGGAATGAAGTAGGGATTTCCCCTAATGCAGTAACTTTATGAATTAAAGGAAAACGATGATCGGGCCAGACCTCCCAATGCTCATCGCTGGTAGAAGCAAGAGTATCACTCCTGAGGTTGCTGAGCATGAGTTGTAATTGCCACACGAATCCAAGATTTTGGAAATTAAAAGCCTTAACTTTCAAGTACAAGTAGCAAAGAAACTCGCATACTCAAACAAGACACATGGACCAAGCATCGCTTAGCTACCTTTGAAGAACGGACTCCTGTTTAAGTGCAGGCTACTGCACCTGTGATAGCACACGGGGAATACCCACCTAGGCATGTGGCAATGATTAGAAAAACAAAAAACGACCAACTTTAAATAACAGTGACCTGAGGGAAAATTACGTGAGGCCTAACTAGGACAAAAAATAGTAGGGACTTCGAGAGGTTAAGGTCAAAGAGGGGCGATCGAAAGCGATGGGTCTTGTGATAAGACAAGCAAATAATGCGCAAGTATAAACGAGACCCAAACTGGTGTATAGACGACCCGGGTGCATGGTTAGCGAAGTTACCACAAATCAAACAGCAAAAATTGAAAAATACTTCGAACATAGGATGTTAATAAAATGATATAGGTGTTCATACCTGGAAAATTTCAAAACCCGCGATATCTAGAATGCCGACAAAAGAGACCCCCTGACGCTTGGCACGATCGAGGGATTTGTTGATGCGCGCGACGAGCCATCGGAAGAGGCGCTCGTAGATGGCTTTGGAAATGGCCTCCACCGCAAACTCGACCTGCTCCTTCGTCTGCGCCTTAGAAACTGTCTCGCGACCAATCTTGAGCTTTGGCTTGAGGAAGGCCTTTGTCAACTCTTGCAACGGGACACCCAAGAGGTGAGCCACTTTTTCGGCAACTAGATAAAATGGGCAATAAGACAAAACACGGATATTATTTGACCTTTGTTACTGAAGACACATGAAACCAGACTGCTCCCTTGAAATGACCAACAATTGGAATCGAATCTAACGACAAAGGTACCGTAATTGGGTATGTTGAAGATATGAAAGCTTCTGCAAGGTCTTACATTAGTTTATATCAACAAACATAAGAAAGACACTGACAATCTGACTTAGTGTTACTGAGCGACATACGTTACTTAAATTTAAGCAACTTAAGGCAGGTGTATTATTGTTCCTATATTTACACGAATGCACTTAAGATAACCAAGGAGAAATAACCAAACAAAACAACGTACCCGCTTGATTGGGCAGGGTGGCCTGATCGGTAGCACGCTCTTGTTTAAATTCCAAATTACCCAAGTGGAGGACGGCAGACAGGATCTTGAAAATGGCTGTGGGAGAAAGTAATAGTAGTGCATTACTTAAAAGGGTCAAGTGTTAGCGCTAGTTGCCACTTGGAGATGTGGGTCGTAACCTTTCCAGGATACAAATGTACATTGCAAATTTCAAGTCATTTCCTATAACTCAAATAATACTTGGAATTAAAGCTAAGCTTACCCTGAGATTACAATGACGTATTACAGCATAACTTACCTACATTATACCAACACAGTAACTGGAAAAAACGAAAACCTGGTAACAGCATCAATAATTTGAAAGAAATTCGAAGAGCAGGGAGACATGCACAGAGCCATAGAGCGATTTGTACGGAAAGACTCGACACACACAAACCAACCTTGTTGATCGTCGTCGGTGATTCCCATGATGGACATTGCCTCAGTAGTCTCCTGGAAGGCTTGCTTTTCATCGAGACCTGGTACCTCGACGAAGCCATGAGAAAGATAACAGTGCCTGGAAGTATCCGCCAGCAGTAGCTTCTCTTTTAATTCCGGTGATGCTGAGGTCAGTAGTTGATAGAATATGTGAAAACTACGTTCTTCTGGGGCCTGACGAATCACTCGAGCCTTCTCGAGCAAGTCTGCAGATATCCGAGTTAAGGTGCAATAATTTCCACTTAATTTCAAGGTTTCAACAAAACAGAACTGTATTCGATGGTATCCCAATCACAGGTAATAGTTTGGGTTTGACCATACACGGGCGCTAAAAAAGCGTACAGCATACAAGATGCGAACAGAACCAGTAAAACTCAGATTAATCAGAAAATCTGTCATAACAAGGATACATGTTTCGATATTCGCTCCAGCGATAAAACCCGAGGTATCGAAGTTTACGCGAATGAATTTTCCCTAAAGGAAAAAAAGGATTAAAGAAATCAGTAACACATTCACCTTAATTGAAAAAGATGACTAAATTGAATCAAATTATAACGATAACAGTTTCCCACGACCCAGCCATTAAATCGAATGATGGAGAATCATTCGTAGAATAAATAAACAGCAGCTGAAGTTTGTCGAGAGGCACACCCATGTACGCTCCCACACCAACGCAGACGAGCACACATAAATAAGTGTAAAAGGCATCGGACATTACTTTAAATCCTATATTAGGTCACCCAGAAATTGAACATACTAAAGTGTGCGAAATTAATAGGTAATAACTTTAGTTGAAAAATACTGATTTGGCATTTTAAGTAAATCTGACAGTCATGAGTACGTACACAAGCGATCAGGAAATTAAACAAGATAACTGAAAAAGTTTAAAAATCTTGCCACATCGCCAATAATGATTTTAGATGTGGATGGCTGCATTCGTCAAAATGCAACAGTAACCTATTTCCCACAAGCGAAAACTTCAAAAATATTAAATGCGAGTCTGGTGAAACTGTGTAAAATTGACAAAGTTATAATGCCTTAATACGAACACTGTGAATGATGGGGCACGCCATGGGATAACCAAATTATCAATTTAATTTTCTGCTAGACTGTCATTTAGTATGCAGACCTGGTAATGAATCAATACATATAAAAGGTAGTAAGACCCAAACGACTTACAAATCGCGAGGAGTTATCATTTTTGATAGTTTTGGCGTTACCGAAGGCTTCAAGAATTGGATTTGCTTTTAGTAGCTGCGCCTCAAGCTCGCCCTGAATAAAGAAGACAACAAGAGGTTAAGTCGAAAGTGGGGAAAATTTCAAATTGGCAGTTAAAGCCTGCGGAAAACCCAACGAGTCTCTTAAAGTAAAGTTAGTGAAAAAACAGCAACAAAATCGCAAACGAATTAGATTAAAATGAATGACGTTACAAGTACATGTGTACATAGAAACGGAATAATAAAGTGACGAATATCAACGAGCAACCTTTTTACGACTTGCCACATATTGGCCATGACGAACAGAAAGCTGCAAACCAATTTTCTTTAGTCGAAATCGAAAGAAATAAGTTCTGGTTCGTTTGAAACAAAGGACGAATCAGATGTACAAAAAAAAGAGAAACTTCCAGGTTTTCACGTCAGCGAAGCAAATGAGTTACACATCTATGTTTTAAGCGGGTGATGTGCAGCAAAAATTTAGTGTGCAAATGTGGTTGTGAAAAAGCGACGAAATGGATTGGATCGGTAAAACTTACGATGTTGATATCTTGTGACTAAAATAAAGTTTATCTCTTTAGAGCGGAAATGTTTGTACAATTAAACAGGTAGATATTTCCACTGAACCACATGAAGAATATTAAGCTGGAAAAGGAGAAAATGTAATAGATACTCACATGTAATTTTGATAACACATTGCTAGGCGTTGTTTTAAGGTTCTTTGTTGATGTAGCAACGGACGCTAAATACTGAATAACCTTCTTGGTATTTTCGGTCTTGCCGGCACCGGATTCACCACTACAAAATCGATTCACACTACACAACGTACGTGCAAAGGATTGACTGATCTTCACGATCTTGAAGCATATTTCGGTACGCAGTGTCCGCGATAGCAAATATGTGCGGCGGCCTTTCGTGGCGCTTCTTGCCTTTATACCACTCAACAATTTCTTCGCGATAGATTGGTAATCGTTTGTATGGATTAACAACGACACAAAAGAGGCCAGAGTATGTCTAGAAAATGTAGTCTGTGGTGAAAATAAGAAGCTTACATAAATCATTCCAGAGTAGTATCGGGATTTTAGGTTGTAGAGGACCGATGCTTCGTTCAAGTAAGTCAAATTAGCCATATCTTCAACCTTTTCAAACTTTGGCGGATTCATTTTTTGTATAGCATCTTTCGGAACGGTCATTTTTTTGCCGGACTCTTGTAACTGGACGACGCAGTCATCCTTATCTTCAGAGATAATAGATGCGGAGACAAATCCAACAGATTCCTGGGGAACCCAAACAAGTCTTTTGGACGCCCAGTCAGATTGAGCAGCAGAATCCTCGAGGGGACCCTGGGCCACACGAAGATGTTCCAAGCTGGAGGGATCAATAGTCGGATCTTTTGATGACATCACAAGGACCAGAGGAAAAAACAGAACCTCTCTTTTTTAACTTAAAATGTGCACTACGACTATAACACGTTAAAACAAATTACTGTGATATATTTTTGCTGATCATTCTAATCAAATATACTTTTTAAAAAAACCTTAACTATTAAGCAAAGGCATTTATTTTTTGCCTATATTGTTAACTAGGTAAAGACAAGCCTAAAATTACTTTGCAATCTTTGAACCTGTTAATGTAAATCTTGTAGACGATACATTAGCATTTATAGTCTACTTCTGTAAAAGACGTAAGAAGCCAAAACTGTGATAAGCACACATATATTCGACAATCGTGTACCTGATGTACCTTCAAATGATGATTTTTGAGTTTGTTTTTGATACATACCTTACATTATTCTTTGCTTAGCTTGAGCACAGTGTAAGCATTTGAGTAATATCGACACACTTCGTTAAATTTGAATTTAAAAAAATTATCATTCTGACTGAACTAATGGTCTTTTAGGTCTGAAACGTGCAGCCGTACCTTAATGATTATTTTGGTAGGGTAATATGTTTTTGTTGCAGATTTTATATACAGTAGCAGCGAATAAAATTCATAATATGCTAAAAGCGCTACACTAGTAAGAAATTTACTTACCCGTCTCTAGTGTTGGAATTCAAAGGCCATTCTTTTTCTTGAATTCAGCATTAATTTTTAATGCAATCATTATGCGAATAAATCGAAAATCATCAGGTTTCAAATTCATCGATCACGTTCTTAAGTTTTGACTGGGTCAAAAAAGGTGCAATATTTTCTTTTACAAATGTTCTAGATATAAATTAACTTGCTAGTTCCAAAAATCTGCGTCAATCATCCATGAATGACAATAATCACGATTATAAACACTTACATATTTTGACCGAGGGTAAGAATAAGCTGTAGACGCTGTCCTCATGTAGCCAGATTTTAAGTTTTGATGTAGCTACTGCATTTTTAATATTCCTATATGCTCAACGGCAACTTGCATGTAGGGTAGTAATATTTTGGCGGAATGTCATGTTATGAAAAGCATGATGAATGATTTCATAAATGAATTAGATTTTGTGAGTTCTACGTCTTAAGTATTAACCACAATTTTGGAATTTTAGCATTTCCTTTTATGTGCACGGCTTTGACATTGGGCTCAAGACATGAAATGGTGCAATTCAATGAAATAACCGTCAACTCCACACCAATGTCCGCAATGGGCAAACATTGGTGAACGATTTTTAATGGCCTAAATCTATGACTGTTGCAAGTTCTTTTAAAAAAATTCGTTTTGACAATGTGGCGAATTCGACATGAGAGATTTTGGACAAACGCTAATTAAGAAAAGGTTCATCTTCACCAATGTCTTGCTTGACAATTTTTTTCGACTTTTATTTATCAAGTTTCTTTCTGGACACATTTTATTACACATATGACTTTTAGGCGCATATAAGTTAGCTAAAGTGCCCAACAATGAAAACTTTTGAAGAACATTCATGAACTTTATTTGAGGTGCTCATGTTTGTTGTCCCTAAAATAGAATTGCAAAGCATTAGGTGAACGTCGTTTAATGCTAGGGAAGTATTTGGGTAGTTTAAATTTGCCAAGTTCACTTCGTAACTGCAAACGTAATGAAAAATTTTGACTTTTATTTGCATGTGTCTTCGGTAAGGCATTTCATAAGTCGAATTCCTCCACTTAGCCGAGTGCGATAAATTAGCCATAGTGCTCACATATGGTCTCATGGGTGCAACCGTGTCATCGTCCTTAGGAAATCAGAAGATTGATGAGTCAGCGTTAGTTTTCACAGGAACTATCAATGCATGCCCTCTTTTTACCATTAAGTCCTGCGTATGCAGAAATGTGGTATTCAAGGAAACCACAATTATTCAGTATACGAAAGACTCCGATATGAATTTTCCCGATAAATTGCGTACCAGTACAACCCTCAAAGCCATAGTCAACACCGAGTTCTCATACGAAAGGCTGGTAGAGCAGACATTGCGGGGTATGTTCCTTATATGTAGAAAATTTGTCTTTTAGTGAAACATTTAAGCCATCCTTCTGTTATTCGGGTTTCTTCAAACGCATTCTCTCCCAATCTTTCTGCTCTCTTTCTTGTTTCTGAACCAAGTCTAGCCCTTCAAGATTTGTTAAAAACTGTCACGAAAGACGAATTCTTGGCTGGACTTCAGTCAGTTCTACAGGCAATGGATTTTCTCCACTCAAGAGTAATACTTCGACCTTTTTTATAATCGCTGCCTGTAGGCTTCTGTTTCTCATAATAACATTGACATCCCAAGCCTATTTGTTGACTCTAGAAAAAAGTGGAAGCTTGGCTTATTTGAATATTCTTGCAATTTCCAAGAGCTATCTCAGAACCGCCTCGAGGTTTTAGAAGCACTAAAGGGTCGAACGGAAGACGTAAAGGTATGGGCTAAAGTTTTCCTTTTGGAGCCGTTATAGGCTACAAAAATTTCTGAATCTGCCTTCCATGCATACGATATTTACTGCTTTAGTCGGATGGTCCATGAACAACTACAAAATCTCAGTAACATCAGTAACAAATATCACATTTCCTTAGATTTTGACATTAGTGATCTTCAAACGGTGTTAGAGCGTTCGGGCTCTCATGCATCCCCTCGACAGCGCCCTTCTGCTGCCCAATTATTGAATCATTCAGCTTTCAAGGGTCCATATTCCTATCTGTTGTCTTTTCTTTCGGATTACGTCTTAAAGTCAGATAATGAGCGGTTTCATTTCTTTGGGTAAGCTGTCCTTTAACGATAGTCGTTTTTACTTATCGCCGATTTGGTGTACCCTTCATGTCTTGGTGTTAATATGAATGTTAATTTTCAGAAAATTTCCCACGTTGGCAAGACAAATTCCCGAGGAACTTCTATGTTCATCAATAATCCCACTTATTTTGGTTCCTTCGGTATTTACTGACTTTCCCACAAAGTCTGTTATTCAGCACTTGCTCACTCCTTACAAAGGTATGGCCTTCATATAGCTGCAAAATGAACGATCTCACTAACAATGTTGTCTTTCAGAAGAAACTTCAATCGGACTGGTGTCAGAGGATGCATTTCGGCGCCTAATTGTTCCTCACATCTCACGCCTTTTTCGACATCACGAGTTAACCACGCGCCTTCTGCTTTTACAGCACTTTCACGCCTACGCGCGATTGATGGGACGATCAACACTTGAAGGCATTGTCCTACCCGAGGTTTGGTATTGCAAGTGTTTATCTAACATGTGGTTTTACCTATAGTGAGACATAGCCTTTAGTTTTGCAGGTGTGTTTGAGTATCTATGATGCCAACGATAACCTTGCAGCAGCCAGTCTATCAAGCCTAGCTCATTTGTCGCATTTACTTGGGACTGGTTGCACAATGAGTCACTTCAGTAGCCTCGGAGGTCAACTCGAAAGCCGTGGGTTTCTCACCCCTTCTAGAACTGCCTATTCGACTGTCTATAATCCTCTGACAGTGGTGCCTAATAAGAAATCAATATCATATTGGGCTGGCAAACGTCCGTGGAAGTGCTTTGCAAATACATTGTTTCCAGACGCTTCCCCGAAGGCAAATCGTCAGGCTCGCGAACAGCCATTTGACGCCGAAAAGCCAAAAAATTGTGGTGGGCGCAAGCTGCGTGAAGTTGCTGTTCTTTCCGCAATGTACGTCCCACCAGTTGATACCTCGACAATGTCGACTCTCCGAGCTCCAGCCGTGAAGAAGTAAGGGATTTTAGCCTAATGACTTGAGTTTTAGCTTTGGACGGGTATACGCTTTTCAGCATCAGGCGCTATAGTTTAATTTTATCGAACTTTGGTTAATAATATGTGTGAAACATTTTGGCTCAGCCCCTTTTCCAGGTCAAATTGCGTTCTACCAAATTGGGTTCTTCTCTAGAATTTGAATGAAATTTAAGTAAACTTATCAAAGCTGTACTTGTAGTTATATTCAGTGAAGTAAAACCCTCCCACCGTTTACGGCCTATTGGTTGTGGCAAGTCGCATCTTATGAGCCACGGAAGCACAACCCAAGGTCCGTTAATGGTGGTCAAAATTCAGCGGCTCATAGTACAGCTTTAATTTGGTAATCAAGAAACATGTTGTGTAAGTGAAAGCGGCGTGCGTAGATTTTTTGTGTGGGAACGTACCCATTTTTTTCATAACATCCGTTATTTGAAATAACTTTGATTCGTCACAACTGATTATCTATCATTTCGTGTATTTCATTACCTAATTTATTTGAGCGCTTCATTGCAGGTAGTCCATATAAAAAGATTACCTGGTTGTATTTGAAAGAGTAATCCTTTGTTGACTATTGACCCCCGGTACGGTCATACGGTTACTTAGGGTTGACAAAACAAAATCGCGCGTATGGCAGTGTTTAGTAGTAGTACAAGAAAAATTTGGGTTTCATAAAAATTTGAATTCTTTTAGACCTCTTTCTATTTAGTTATTGAGGAACGGAGCTATCATATAGTTAAAATTGGTAAAAATGACGTGCCTGAAACCTATTGTCCCCTATTTGACGAAGCCATAAAGTAATTTGCGTAAACAGATACCTGCATGTGTTGCTTACTCCAAGCAATATCACTCGTTTCCTTAATTTGGTACTGGGTTTCTTCTCGGCTTGCTCTAAAATAAGTGAATCAATTAATCCCAATTAACTGATCCTTTTTTTCGATATACACTGGTTATTTAGTGTCTCTTTTTGGTATGTTTTAACTTGACATCAGGTCACACCATAGGAAATCTGTTTTTGCTTTTATACTGACATTTGCACGGTTCTCATGCCTACACAAAGCACAGATTTCGCAGTTATCCATGCAAACCGAGGTCTTTAGTGGTACTTTTTAATAAAAATAGCGGGTCTAACTAAGGCGTTTTACATTTAGGATGTTGTATATGAATAAGTAGAAAACAAAGTTTATTTCATTTTTCAGATGAACCATTAAATACCTTTTTCTACCTCAGGTTATCGTCGTCTAAGCGCGGACCAAACGCACGTAAGTTAACGCTTTGTAGCATTTATGATCATTATTCGTTGACAATTCCTTGCTTGGCTGCAGCAGCTGTTTAAAAGCTAAATTCAATCTATTTAGCCGATGGTGCAAGTGATGTATTTATGGAGAGTTAGCTGCCTTTGGGGGATTTTGTTTTCCTTCTTGGAGACCTTGGCATCGCTTTCATTGAAATGTTTGCCGTTGATGATAGTCGAAATTGTGTCTAGCTTTGTTCCATTTCCAAGTAAATTATTCTCAGCTTGATACTCTTTTGTCCTTACACCTTGACGTGACTCCATTTCGATAACCGAAAATTGCAAGCGAGCGATGCTATTGTGATTTTGACATATGCGTGATATTAAGATGTCAAAACCGATGATAAATTCAAACACAGCTAGTGCTCCTAGTATTTCTACATGAATTGTCCTGATGTCGTAGTACTTAGCACAAATTTTATTAATTTGCAGTAATCCGGCCTCAAGTGTTCTATTAATTATCAGTCCTGGCAGATAGAATGCGAGTAATTTTCATGAGTTTAGCTTGTTTTTGTAGCCCTATTTTAGCATAAAGCTTTGTGCCTCATAAGTTTTTTTTATAATGTCGATAAGGTCTACTCGCCTAAATTTTGCTTAATTTAAAACGATCCTTTAAGACTAGAGCGATCCCATTGGACAAAAGAAAGGGGCTCATTGTGGAGAATTAGAATATTAAATCTTTTGTTAGTAAAATGTTTTCTATGTGTTTGATTTGTTTTTGTCTCACTCGCCATCATTTATTGGTCTAATTCACTTACTCGATTACTGCTTCTTCCGTTACCAATGCATTAGCGAGTGTTTTCTTACGTTCATCAATTTTAAAATACACTTGGTGAAACATAAATATTTGGAAGTCATTGTTTATGATCATAACACACCTTCAATAACTAAGCCTATTTTAATTTTCTGTCGGTGTTATTTAATTAGATTTTTTGTGTTCTCAGTACCGAGTTCAAGCACTTTTAAGTCGTTGGGTGAGGAACAAATAAAGTCAACGACCCTTACTACCAAGTCAGCCGACAAATCACCGGATCCATCAGTCGTCGATTGTGAAGAATCCTCTGCACGCTCTTTTTCACAGGATCACGTTTCTCCCATTCAGGTTAGCAGATATCTACAAGGCATCCTAGTTTTTAACGTTAGAAGCAGTTTACTCGAGTCATTTAGAATCAGTTACGCGTTTTCAGGTCAGCCTCTTCATAATCCCATTTTACGTCAATGAATGTTCAGTCCCGGCATTATGCAGTCTTTGCTCATCGCCCCGGACACCTTGGTCGCCATTCGAACTTGGCCAATTAACGAGACCGATTAGTATCCCAAAGTGGGCGTGCAACTAGCGCAGTCAGGGCCTGTCACTTTCGCTTGTTATATTCATACTGTTAACATAGTTGTCGTCACTGTTGCCTCAAGTGTTCAATACTTTTTCCGTATGCACCACCGTGCTATTGCTGATATCGTATTTAAAGTACATATGTTATAATCGAAATAAACAATCAGTAAACTTGTTCCCTGTTCTGGCAGAACTTTTCGGCCCAAAAAATCTATACTACTATGCTGTCCTTTGCAGAATTCCCAGCATGCGTCGTTCACGTTGCTGCTAATGTTGTGATTTTTTAAAACACCGGGTTTTGTAGTGAACGAGGCAACCTACGTACTCGATCAGTACTTGCCACTTTCTGTTTCCTGGATGTTGAGTATTCACACTTCCGTTTTAGGGGGACTCCTCGTCACCCACTTTAGCGCCGCGTTCTAGTCCTGTTGCTGATGATTGTCAATGGGATGACTGGACATCTGACAAGGAAGGTGATCTTGCTGTTAAAACGTCATCGCTTTCTTTGGGGTTGCCCACTTCTGTTTCTAAGGAGGAAGCTGTGAGTTATTGCCTGTGGGCCATATATTAATCATCAATTCCGATTGTTGGAATTCCCTATACTTGAAGTTTTTTTCGTTAGGCCCCACAAATTTGTTCGTCAGGAATATCCACGGGAAGTGAGACGCCGATTTACATCCTAGCAGTTACGTTTAATCCTAAGCAAACTAGTTGCACTATCGCAGTGTCATTAATAAGGGATTTTTGTTAAGGCGCACTTTTATGAGGTACTTGTTTTGGAGGTGTGGCTGTTTTCACAAGTTTGCTCATATTCTTGCTCCACTTGTGACCGATGCGACTTCATGAATTCACCTATTTTATTCAACTAAGCTGCCAAAAGAAAATAAATGACTAGATAAATCAAGAATATTGTACTCGTTTCAAAACTTAGCTTACTTTTACACCAACCCTACTTTAACACATGTGAATTAAAATATGTTGGCACTGCTATGTTTGGAGCTTCACGATGTCTGTTGTTAACACAGTATTCGTCCTGATTCAACTTTAATGCTTACCACTCCAATCTTCATATTTGTTCCCAATGCACCGACGCACATATTAGCAATGTGGTGTTGTTATCGTAGAGTAATGTCATGTTTACTTCGTAGGAAGTCATAGAAAGAACGGCGCAAGTGGAAGCAATCCTTGCTGAATTAGCTCCAGATATCAAACCGGCTTCTCGAACCGGATCCGCGAAACTACAAAACGGCCTTGAGAATCGCGACCAACATCAGCAATCGGTTCCTCCGATATCTTCCGGGGAGTTTCTTAGATATCAACCGGAGGTGACTGTAGTTTCCTATGTATATGTAAACGTTTTCCTTCGTTTTGCCTCGTTTACCTACTAAGAAAAAAGGGTTTTATAGGTTTTTTGTTCGGACCATAAGTGTTCCTTTTATTCAACTTCGAACTATAATTAATTTCTAGCTACCAACTGTTTCCTATGTGGCTTGTAACTCCAGTAAGCGGAAAACTTGTCATCCTTTGATCTGAAGAAACCATCCACTCGCACTAGGATATCATTATCTGCATTGGGGTCTTTAAGATACCAGCACTGCTGTTCATATTGTGTGAGGTCAGAGTCAATAAAGAAAGTCACAATGTCATCCTGAAGAGTCAACTTGAGGGTTTCGAATACAATATGCCGTTGGCCACTTCCACAGGGCGGTATGACGTCTTTCCAATCCTCTAGCTTCAAGCCTTTTCCTTGGATTACTATTTTTTAATTTGGCTTCATTATGTTTGGGAAGGTTTAAGTACTGTGGCTCTCCACTGTCACGCTTAAAACTCACCATTGGTCTTGTTTGGTAAAAAAATTTCTGATGTATTTAACTCATTTTGTTCGGGCCGAAATACTGTGTAGGACGCTGCTTTCGCTTCCAGTACCCAAACAAGCTGAAAACAGCTTGAACCACTGTGGATTGAGAAGTAAAGTGATACATGGATTTACGTCCGAGATGATTTTTCGTTCAACTTTGCTTTAAAACAAATCCAGGGCGTCTCAAGTAGCCAAAACAAAAAAACCGTCATTTCTAGAAGTGTTTAGGCGTGGCGGCGGCAGATTTGTGTCTTCCGTCCGTTTCAGTGCACTCTACTGCCTCTCAATTTGTGTTTTATTTGCTTCTACATATTTCTGAGTCTGAGAGCGTTGTTTGATTTAAGAAAGTGTTGTCTCTAAGGTAAAAAAATTGGCAATGACCGACCACAATTATTCGGTATTTAGACTTCGAGAAAATAAACAATTTAATGTGTGGTCATCGAAAGGGGGCCCGACGCCAGCATTAGACTTCCAGAGTGTCTCACGCATTTAGTCAGTGACGTAGCACTTTTGTGTGACCTTGTCATTATGTTGGGACCGATAATGTACCGTGCCAATCATGCGCTGGCATATAATCATGTACCTGCTTTCAATTAGGTTTTTTCGCTTGACTGAGGCGTTCTTGACTTCTGTTAGTGCACATGTTTTAGCTATCTTCGGGCTAATTTAATGCTCCGTTCAATGGGCCTCACTGCGGTAGCTAGTTTTTCCTGGTATCTGCTTTCTGCGTAGGTAGACTTGTCCACATGACCTGGACTGTTAAAACAGTGCTTATTTCCAAAGATGATGTCGGTCTATGCCAAGGAAATCGATGTCGCCCATGTTTGACAAACAAGCTATTCACAGCGAACACTACTTACTCAAAATGATACTGTGGAAAACAAACCGTTTTATTTGTTTACTTGTTTAGAATGGGTGGGTGAGCACCAAGGTGTAGGTCTGTGGTTTAGCATAATGTCCTTCTTTATCTAATACGTGCATTCATGTTGCGTTTTTGCTGTGATGGGACTAATAATAGCTGATACTGGGGAGCCACAAAGGCGAATCGACTTAGTGGTTAATGCCTTTGAATACATTGTAAACTGCAGCCCGTTCAAAAATTTGACCTTGTTTTAGTAACAGAGGAATATTAGGCACGTCACAGTTGGTTATTTGTTCGGCTGTAATTTGAATCCTCTTCCAATTTTAGGATGTCCTTAGTGGCTGGAATGACGACGAAGACGTTGGCGGTGGTGAATGGGACGCTGACGATGATGGACTCTAAAACCAACAATTTTCCGCTTATTTTGAATGGCTGTGTTTTTTAATCCAAATTAAATTAATATCCTTTTACCTAGCCTGTTTTAAGTGGTCGACGCCATTTTAAGGGGATTTGGTGATTGGTAAATACACCTGATTGCTTATTATTGCATGTTCGAGCCTGGACAAGTACTAGAGGAACAAAGTAAAGTTAAAAAATCAAAACACATGGTATGTCAACATTAAGTCAATTTAATCCCCATGTTCGAAATGTAACAGGTCGAACATTTCTTAAGGTGGGTAGCTTCGAATGCATAGAAACGTTGCTAAAATCGCTGAGGATCTTAGTGCAACAATAAACTAGCCTATTTTGGGGAACTAAATCTTTATTTAATGAATAAATTTAAATGGTTTTTTAAAGGTGTCTTGAAAATCATTTATTCCAAACAATAATGTTTGACCTTCCCATGCTAAGACATCATGGCCTCAGCATTTATTAGTGACTTCGGGGTTCGGATTTTTCCACGCGTTACGGAGAAATCCCGATGTTTTCAACACAGCACAGTGATTGTGTGTGTGGTGGTGGGAGGCTCCGTCGAGTCTGACGCGAAGACGATGGTGCCAGTCTGTGTGGAAAAGTGGTTGCACAACCACGCATGGTGGTCACGACTGAACCTGAGCCAACGTGGCTCGTCACACCCGATGAACATCAAAATTGAACAAAAATCAAACACGGATAGCTTTTTCGACAATCTCTTACGATATTTACAATTAAATAAGTTTCCATGCTTATTATTGATCTTTCAAAATCTAAAGATAATCTCATCCCCAAATCGTTTTTCATAATTTCATCATATACTGTTCAAAAGACGCATAACATTTTTGTAAGCGGGACAAATTGCCGGTTAGAATTTAATATTTGAATGCGTGTAAATACGCCTTGTGTGTTTTTGACCTTCATTTAGTTTGCTATTCGCGACTTCATAAAACTGGACAGTTACTGGGCTTAAAATGCCTTTCTGAAAACGCTCCGTTTCGTAGTAATCGGTGGTAAGTTTTTTTGGTGTGACCTTTCCGACGGACAGAAAACGATTCAATCAACCAAGACGGTCCTTTTACTTTTTAAAAAGACGTCTACCTTAGTGGTGAATCTATATAATTTGCAACTTTTTACATTTCAACGCACGTTAGGATCCTGTTTTTTGCTCTGATGTGGGTTCACTTTGTATGTAAATCAAGTCGCCTTAATGTTTATGCGCACGAGGACTGGTTTGATGTTCAATCGAATTACCTACGGGAAGCTTGTGCATTAACGATTCAATTATTAGCCATATTACTTTGATTCGTATTGATTTCATGACGCAGAAAGTGCGAAGTAAAAATAATAGCCTTCTGAATCTTCCAACTCAGAGCAAATTGCTACCTGTATAACAAACAACATTAACGCGAAGGTGTAGAAGGCGTTTGGGTCTTGGCGGTTTCTTGTGCAATCAACAAAGGATGTAAAATACCAAGATAAACAACTCGCGTATTCCGACATATTAATGTTTACTTGACGCGATAGTTACTGTGGAAAATGATGCGAACAAGTCGAGTTCGCAATATTGCAGCACTGGACACAATCGAAGGGCATTTGTTTCTTTAGCCTCAGGATATGTTACGGTTTAATCTGCTTACGAAACGCCTTTGTAGAACATTTCAGCGCTGAATTCACATCGATTGATACCATGACCGACTCATGTAGTGTAATTAAATCAACCTAAGAGGTGTGTTTCGCGAATGGCTCCCCCTTGAATTCGCAGAGTTTATTTCAACAGCATTTAAATTTTTAACAGCTTATTTATAGGACATGAACAGACCCGATAGTTGCATTCAGACGTGGCACAAGTCGATAGTACAGTTTACAACTCTTCTCTTCGAATATTGTATTTCAAGTTCAGACCTCATGAGGCATTTAAGATGTTGGCCTTGAACTCAAGCGGATTTTGAAAAGCTAAAAGAGTGAAAGCGTGCCATTTTCAACCACCAGGGTCTGCACACACGTATAAACGTGTTTTGTTGTGTAAAATCTCTTTACATAATGAATCGAAGCAACCATTTCGGTTACCTCAACCTCGAAACTGCCTTATTTTGCGTATATTAGAAATCAAGCGTGTAGTGAACCCCATTCCCAATCATTTACACGATTCATTTCTAAAATATATTGTTTATTTTGAGTTTCGTGTGTGCTACGAGTCAGTTCACAACATGTCGCAATTTAAAAAAACCTTCGGTTCGATGCCCACGCTTTTCATTTCCCGGTTTATTAATATGTTGCAGTGAATTTTCGATTCACGTCCACCCGCTCCGCCGCCGCATTTTCCGATTCGGCCCCTTTTCACGGAGACCCCGTCAGTCAGAGCGGACCCTCTACTCATACACCCCTCTGCATGTATCACCCTCATCACGCGTTTTACTCATCTGAGTATATTACTAATTCACTCAGACTCTATTGGCCATCAACCACATTAACCATGCCCTACCTCGAACACACGCGTTCGACAGTACAACTAGGTTTTCTTCAAGACGCTCTTTGCCATCTCTGGTCTTCTCGGTTATCTGTGTAGCGTAAACGAGCGAAGTCTACACAACGGTCCCGTGGAGTTTTGAGGCCACATGGAAGCGCCTTCAACATATGCTAAAGTTGTCTAGACGACTAGCCAATGTGTTCAATTTTAACGTTAACAGGCAAAGCAAGGGCCGAAAAAAGAGCACAACAGTTAGGCCACTTTTTCAAATCATGATTGACTTGAATCAGTTCTGCTAATACTGAGAAAATAAATTGAGTAAAATCTCTGAATATCTTCCATACCAAAATATATGGTCGTGGTCCTAAAAGAATTGTCAACTTGATGTCAAATCAAGGTAAGGTTCAATCGCAAAAACATGGAGCATGAATAAGTTAATTCATGTTAAAAAATACTACTACTAGGTCAACTTTTTGAGTTCATGCTTTATCTTTCCGTACTGCGTTTGGGTATAGATGTTCTCATGGTCCAAATGCCAAAACTTAAGTGTGCCAGAACGCAATCATCATGTTAATATGGATTTTGTAACAAAACAAAGTGAAGGAACAGGATGAATTACACTGTACGCGAGACAAAATCAGTGTTAAGCTCATAACTCAGAACCATTCCCTGAATGACTGCACGCCATTCAATAATCTGTGCATTTTCACTAAAAGTCTAAATGGTTTAGTCAACTAGTTTGATAACTAGTGCCCGTAATTAGGTCCACATCCAGACCTATTATGTTTGGAGTTGTTATCCGAACACAGAGCAGGGAATTTACAATCCATGACAAAAACATGCTAAGCAAGAACATGTTTTTACCCAGTAGAGTCATTGTTTTACACCTGCCCAACCAACTGATAAACAGATTGACATTTCACGGCCTCTACGCGAAGTTCTCCAACACTCGATTCTGCATTCGAGAGACGAAATTTCGGTTCAGC